TGGCAGTGCTCTAGACATTTTCTCAGATGTGGGCTACATCCATAACATCCCTGCCCCCGGGAGCCCACGCCCATTAGTACCTGTTGTGCAGCTGCTTGGCTGCTTGCACAAAGCAAGGCTGGTCTGTCTCCTTAAGCACTTCCTGGGCATAGCCCACCAGACCTGAGCCATCCAGCAGGCTCCGGTGCTCTTGGATCTGGGCACTGAGACGGGCCAGTCGCTCCTGCTGGCATTCTTCAATGGCCTGAAGCAGTGATGCCCGCTTCTCTTCCAGCACAGCCCCCAGTCCCCGCACCAGCTGTGATACTTCCTCTTTGGCCTGCTGACCACTCACCTGCCCAAGGAGCAACACCCAAAGGAAGTATGACTTACTGTCTTCCTCTAGGAGGCAACACTTGTGCCAGCCTCCTGGGACACTATAGCATGGCTAGGGTCACAAGGGATCTTGGGGAAAAATCCTACTCACTTATTTTAGTAGGGTCAGACTCTTGGCTGCAAAGGCTCCTATGCCCCAAGACGAGCTTTACTCCTGACAATTTTTACTAACCTTCTTGGATGCCTACATTATACTTTCAACCCCTTAAGGACTCACACAAATAAGAGACCATGGCAGCATTAATGTCCACTTAGATTGCACTAATGTCCACTGGCATCTATGTTCTCCTTATTTGTCCACCTCCACCCATGTCAGCCAACTCAAGCAATCTGGCAGAAGGTATCAGAGCCATTCCCTTATGCTAGCTAGCTCCAGACATGTGTTCCATCCCCAGTGGAGGATTGAACCTTAGAGCATCTGCACAACATCTATGGGTTTTCAAGTTCTTTGTCCTAAGCTAGAGCCACCCAGCCTCTGCTGCAGCCCCAAGACAGCCTGGCCTACAGCACTGGTGTTCCTGCTAACCTGGCCTAACCGGAACCTGGACTCATGTCATGTCACAAGCTTCCTGAGTCTGCTATGAGGTGATTGGGCCATGCCCACCCGCACTGGCTTCCTGCCCCCTCACCCAGGCAGGGCACCAGGCCTACCTCCTGCCCTCCCTCACCTCAGTATGCCTGACAGTCTCTTCCAGCTCACAGATCTGGGTCTGTACTGTGTCCTGGTTTCCCAGGATGTATGTCAGGCTCTTTGTCAGCTTGTCCTAAGGGGGAAGAAGGAGGTGGGCATCATGCTTGGCTCCACAGAAGCCAGGAGTTCGGAGGTGCAAGAGGGAGAGAGTTAGAATTAGTACTGGGCTGGATGAGGGGAGTCCTCACCTTGAGTGCCTGGTAGGCACTGAGCACTGGCGTGATCTTGTGACCACTGTGGGTACGCCGCACCCGGCAGAGTTGGCAGACCAGCCGCTGGCATGTCTTGCAGTAGTGGGTCACCTCTTCCTTATGGTCTGGGCACATAAGTCCCTAGGGACACAAAGAACAATGAGGTGGCCAGCCAGTGTGGTGTGTGGAGTGCTGGCTACCACCAGAGCCTTTTAGTGTCCCTTCACTGGCCAGGTGGGGTGGAGGGGGGACCAGTGTCAGGCTTGGTAGTGGTGCTCCACAGTGCCACCTGGTGGCACATGGGCACCTAGGGGAGCCTTCCCTGAGTCTCCAGGCAATGCCCCATTCCCCTGCATGGCTCCTCCCTTCATTTGTCTCACTGGATGTGTGGTAATAACAATAATAATGGTGATAATTAATCTTAGCCTGTGGTTAATAATTCACCTCATCCATCTTGTTCACTGCTGTATCCCTGAAGCCCAGAATGATGCCATGCACATAGGTGTTTGATAAATATTTGTTCAATGAATGAATGCATACAGACCTTTTTAGTGTGCAGATAATACATTTTAGTGAACAAATATTTCATGTGATGCTCTCAACAACCCTGCAGGAATACATACTTTAGGGCAGGTACTACCACTTCTATGGAGATGGGAGTGAAGATGAAGGCCCAACGATGAATAATTTGCCATGACTTTGTTACAGAGAAAGGTGCTTGGCAGTGGCAATCCCCTGCCCATCTCCTTTTGGAAACCCATAATTCCAGGCAACCCCATTTGCCCAGCATGACCATGTCCGTCTCTCTGTAAGTGCCAGCTCACCTTGGGGCGGAAGGAGAGGGTGGGCAGGGTGGGTTCATGCTGGGCCTTCTGGGTGCCCCAGGGGTGGAAGAGCTTGAAGCACTCGTTGCAAAAGGTGGCACGGCACTCGGTGCAGCCCTTGGTGGCTTCCAGTGGTGGGGGCTTGCACAGCTGGCACAGGATGGCGCCTCCCACACTCACACTCTGACGGTACCGCTCCACAACACGCTCCAGGGTCAGGTTTCGGAAAAGGCCTGCCAGGCCCCGTTCCCCTAGCTCCACATCACCCTGGCAGGCTGGGCATGGGAACATGATCATCTGGGGGTGCAAAGCACCCCGCTTCCTTCCGGGGTATGTCCCAAAGCCTGTGAATGAACCAGAGAGGGTAGAGGAGGTGAGAGTTATAGCTGGCTGAGGGTAGAGGAAGTCTGTTCAATTAAACATTTAGATTTGTATTGTGCCACAACTCAGCTCTCACTAGAGCCTGGATGAGCAATATCTCCACCCTCAGAAAGGCAGACAGATGCCTCTGACCAGTCATAGACCCCTTTCATCTTTCCGATGACAGTTCAGCATTTCCACCCCCACCCGACAAGCCCTACCTGATTTAAGCAGTCGGTCCAAGCGGTCTGGCTTGGGGAGAGTTCTGCGAGACAGGCGGGGGCTGCGAGTGGAAGGGGTGGATGCAGGAGAGGTAGGCTCAGAGCTAGGGTCCCCACCATGGCCTATGTAGCCCTGCTGGCCCAAAACCTCCCGGGCACAGGCCTGGCACACGTTGTGGGTGCAGGGCAGCACCAACGGCTGCTTATACATCTCTTGACACACTGGGCACAGCAGTTCCTTCTCCATGTTCTTCATGCTGGTCTATGGGGGAACCAGGAGGCTAGGTCAGAGCTTGGACACATAGGCATGTCTCAGCAGGCCCCTTGGCTGCTCTTAGAGACCCCAGGGGTCTTGGAAAGGAGCAAGACAAGCTATCAGATGTTTTTCCCCAGCACCTGCCTTGGTCTGATTCACAGACCTTCTAGGCCCTCAGAGCTTCTGTTTCACTTCTGCAGAGCTAAAGGCCCAAAGGAGGATTCTTGGAGCTGGTGCATTCCCCATCCTCAAGCCCCACCTCCATCACTCCAACAGCAGCAGCCCCATCTGGCAGCTCCTCTTACCTGCCTCCATCCCCCCATCTCTGGGCCGCCTGCCCCTGGCATTTTTCTCAAGGACACCGCTTATTCTCCAGCTCCGTGCGTACCCCATCCTCTTCTCTAGCACCCCCCCACCCTGCGCCTGACTCCTCGTGATAGCCAGGCGCGCTGGTTCTTCATTCTCCTGCTAGCCCTGTCTGTCTTCTTACCGCTCCTACCCTGCCTCCGGCCTGCATCAGCCCAGCCTCCACTCTCACCCTTCACTTCTCCGTCCATCTCCCTCGGTCCCTCAATACCAACCCACTCCTCTTCGCCTCCCCACCATCCAACTCTCCCACCCTCTCCCTCAGCCAGCTGCACCCCCTCCCCAAGCTGTGGGGGGCGCGAAACAAGCGCCCCGCCTACTCGCCCCCTCCCCACCGGAAGTACTCCTCCCCCTATTGCTGGCAGGGGGGTCCTCAGGCTACGCCCCACCCCCACACCTCACCTTGGTCCCTCTCTTCGCAGCCATCCCGGTCAGGGGCGCAGCTGACACAAAGGAGGGAGGGCCAGGGAGGGAGGGAAAAGGAAGTGGTGGGGGGAAGCAGGGTTGGCACCGCCCCTGGGAGAGCCGGGCACGGGTTGCCATGACAACCGCAGGCTCGGAGGCAGCCGAGAGTGGGGGTGCGGTGGGGTGAGGCTTCGGGGAGGGGGTCCAAATTGGGACCTATATCCTGGGGGTCGCCTTCATCGCCCCCACCGGTCCTCAGTTTTCTTGGCTAAGATCCAAGCTCACCCAGTCCTCACACGTAACATAGAGCCTCTCCCTGCCACCCCAGCCCTGTGTTCCGCTGGCGGCCATCCCAGCCCACCTGCCTCTCTGAGCTGCTCCAGCTCTTCACGCCCTAGGGGACCGCCGCCTTCAGTACACTCACCTCCGAGCTGCACCTGGGATCACCCTCTCATGCCTGCATCTGCAGTTGTTTCTATCTGTCATCACTATCCCCCTGCCTACATCCCAGAATCTTCCTGATCCCCACCTGTTCAAGGTCTCAGCCTGCCACGGGCCCCTATGCCCCACCCCACCCCGCTTCCCCCCGACCCCACCTTAACTCACACTGATGCGGACTAGTGCATCCATGATGGAAGTGAAGGTCTGCATATCCTCACCCTCAGCCATGGCCCTACTGTGCCCGCCCGCCCCCAGGTGCCCGATCCTGGCTGCGGCTGCGAACCCTGGGCTCAATGCAGGAGCCCAGTGGGGGTGTGGGGAGGGGTGGGGTGAGGAGTCATTGCGCATGCTCCAGGGACCAGCCTGGAACAGCGGCCGTAGGGGTAGGGGGTGGGAAATAGTTCTCCCCACGTGGTTCTCCAAAGGTGGAGGAGGGGGGTTGGGTAACATGGAAGAGTATTTGAGGATGGGAGCATTTCTTATATTCTCATTTTTCGGTAGCTCCTAATCTTACTCATATAAAGCGAGAGGTTAGCTTTAGAAGATGGGCTCTGGGTGGAAGCACTACTTTCTGGGCTGGGCAAGAGTCCATGGAAGATGCTGAGGCAATGGTCACAGGGCAAGGAGGTTTGAGCATCATGCCCTCGAGATAACATAAATTAAAAAGAAGGCAGAGGAAGGCCAGAGGCTTAGGCCATGGGCCCAACGAGTTGAAGAGAGACTGCAGCTTCTGCAGAATGGCAGCAGATGGACTGGATACAGCGCAAGCCTGAGGCCCAGGGCGGTGGCTGAGGATGTTCTTTCATGCAGTATTTCCTCCGTACCGGAAGAGGGCGCTGTTTCCAGGAGCCGAAAGAGAAACTACGTGGAGGTGCAGCAAGTCCGCGCTGGCAGCTGACGCATGCGCACAGTTAATAGCGCTAGGTTCGGCTCCCGGTTTTCAGCTAGTGGCGCGGATTGGACTCACGGGCGGGGCGTAATGGGTAACCGGACCGGTGGTATCCCTGGGACAGGGTAGCGGGGGATGGAGTTGGGGCAGGCAAACTTTTCTGGTGCTCTCCCGTCGGCGCTGACGTGTCCCGAATTTCAGGGCGTGGGCACGTCTACCGGACCGGAAGGCTCGGGGCGTGCGGGGTTAGGGAGGACTTGAGGGTCCCCGCGGCTGTGGGACTGGGGGATGCGGCTGCGGCCCCGGAGCGCTGGGAAGCAGTCTGCCCACCCGGCCGGCCCCTCTCTCCTGTCCTCCAGTAGTGGGCACGGGCACGTCGCTGGCGCTGTCTTCTCTCCTGTCCCTGCTGCTCTTCGCCGGGATGCAGATGTACAGCCGCCAGCTGGCCTCCACCGAGTGGCTGACCATCCAGGGGGGGCTGCTTGGCTCTGGCCTCTTCGTCTTCTCTCTTACTGTATCCTTCTCGCGGTGGGCGGTGTAGGGGGGGGGTCATGCCTTTCCCTTCTCTCCTGCAGTTCTACCCCCGTCGCGTGCCCAGTTCCTTAACTTCCTCAACCCAGGCCTTCAATAATCTGGAGAATCTTGTTTTTGGCAAAGGATTCCAAGCAAAGATTTTCCCTGAGAGTAAGTGAACATTGGGGGTTGAATATTTGAGACCTTTCTTTCTTTCTTTTTTTTTTTTTTGCAGTTTTTGGCCAGGGCCAGGTTTGAACCTACCACCTTCCATATATGGGGCCGGCGCCCTACTCCTGTGAGCCACAGGCGCCGCCTGGGACCTTTCTCTTTAACCTCCCTCAATATGATGCTGAATTTTCCAGGGTTTTAGGTGTAAAGGTTGTTAAGGAGATATATGTTCACTTAAACTGTCTGAAGACAGATGATGTTTTTGAAACCAGCACCTCTTCTGGCTCCTAGAATTGAGCTGGGAGAGAAGATCTATGAAATCAAGAAACTTTACCTTCTGGCTGGTTCCCAGGGAAGGTTGAAGGGAACAGGTATGTTTGGGCTGGTTTTACATCTATCCCAGGAAAGGGTTTTTTTTATCCCCTGGAGAAGAAGCAGCAGGACCAAGTTCACTGATGTGAGATTGATCTAATATTAGTGAATTCTATTTATTTGAGAGGATTGTGGAGAGCCTCAACGTTAGATATACCGCATTTCTATAGTAACAGGAATCCTGACCAAATTAGCATAATTTAAATTGTTTGCTATTGAAACAATCCTTGTTAATTCTGTGAGTGAGAACCGGTGATTTAGTTATTTATGGAGAATTAAGTTCATAAAGCAAATTAAGCATCAAGGTGAGGTCACCTAAGGAATGCCACATGCTCAAAAATTCACAGCAGACACAATCTAATGTGAAATCTTCATCTGATAAAGCAAATATCTATCCCTGTTGCCCCCATTCCTTTGCACCAGTCTAGGTCTAGGTCTTTCCACCTAGCCCTGTTGTAGGCCTCCACAGGCTCTTCCAGCCAACAGCCTAAGCACTTCTCTCTGTTAGATTCCATGTGTATTGTTTTCACATGCTTGTGAAAGAAACCACTGTTACGGAGCAAAGCTCTTGGTCCTCTTTACCTTCCCTGGCCTCCCCAGCTGGGCAGGTGGGGTCCTGTTTGCCCTTGCTTTCTGCCTTCCCACTGTTTCTCCCATGCTATTCCAGATGTTCTATGATCCTTTCCTGCCCCCATTTACAAGCACATCTAGATACTCTTCTTCCAACCTGGGTCCAGGAAGAGAGGTCCTCAATGTCTACCACTTGTCAGCCAGCTTACTGAATTGATTTTCATTGGCTGGCTTCTGTTGGAAAGGCATTAATCCTTTTCCCCAATGGGAGCAAGCCTTACCCTTCAGGCTTTGCTATCACTTTTCCTTTACCTTTTTACAGGAGTAAAGCCAGCATAGGGAAGTTAAGTGCAATTTGAGGCAGAACTGATAAAAGCATGTATCTCCTACCTCTGTGTCCTTGGCCATCATTAAGACCACCTCGTGCTGGCTTGGCGCCTGTGGCTCAAGCAGCTAAGGCGCCAGCCACATACACCTAGGGTGGCGGGTTCGAATCCCCAGCCCGGGCCCGCCAAACAACAATGATGGCTGCAACCAAAAAATGGCCAGGCGTTGTGGCGGG